GCACAATGGTTCAAACTCTATGGGATGCAGCGAACACTGTCCGAAGAGGAAAGATTTTTATATCTTTCATTTTGGGAGAGTATGTTTAGGAATATTCTATCACTGTCTCCTCTCTCTTGCAGAATGGGGTCTCCCCCATGGCAATGAATTTCATGATAACTTACTGAAAGTACAGCAAAAAGATAACCACATTGAAAATGGAAATCTCAGGATAACAGCTGTGTTCCAGGTGAAGACCTACCAATTCAGACTGGAACAGATCAGATTTCAGGAAAAATTTCTTCAAGATAATAAAACTGTTACACTACCAAATGTGTATGAATGTATTGAGAAGAGAGATATGCACCTGGGAAGGGTTTCAGAATAAATTAGTAGTAAGTACCTACAAAATTAAGCAAGCAAAAATGCAAAAAAAAAAAACCAAAAAACTAATAATGAACACAAAACCAAAACAAAACAAAAAAACAAAATAATGTTACACAGAAATAGTATAATATAATATACTACATATATTAATATGTAGTATAATAGTATACTACATAAGTCAAATATGTAAAACACTTACTTAGTTATAATAATGTTAACACTGGATAACTAACTAACCGAAATTATGAAATAACCAAACTGGGAGAATAAAAAGAGAAAAAGTATGCATGTAAGTAAAAGGATCACTGAAGAGATCTTGAAAAAGATTGAGGATAAACCCTCGTATTTCATAGTGGAAAATCAATCAACAATGGCTAGCATTGAAAAATCAAGAAATAGTCATATAAACAGAGAGAAGGGAGACTCTTAGGTATTCTCCCTCTTCCATAATAATAAAAAAATTTAGCTGGGCATATGGCTTCCCAGAGTATAACTGCATTTGCAGCATCCCTTACAGTTAGGTATGACCATGGAACTAATCTTCAGCCAGTGGGTTAGAAGTGAATGTGTCTTGTGACAGTTTCTGGGAATCCTCTTTAAAAGATAGCTGGTACACACCCCTTGCCTCTTCTTTTACCCCCCTCTGTCTTGCTTCCTGGACCATAAGTGTCATAATTTTGGACCTTGTGGGCAAGAAGTACATCATAGAGATGGCAGAATTGAAGGTGGAATGTACCAGAGTCTCTGAGGAGTTTATGGGGCAGAACTGCCATGCCAATTTTAAGTTGTATATCCCTGGACTTGTACATGAAATTAAAATATCTTGTCTGAATTACTATTGAGTGTTTCTGTTACAGCCAAACCTAATTCTAATTAATACAACACATTATTCATAGGTGGAGGTAAAAAGTGCTTGATTCCACCTATTGGAAAATAGGAGTAGGGAAAGAATAAGGAATGTTGGTTTTATAGCAAGTTTTACAGAACTCGGCTCCTTAAGCTGGGTGCATTTATAACTTCTATTTAAAAAAAACAAAAATGATAAGAACAAAAACACATGTTCTGAAGTTCCTTATTCTTGGCATTTAGGCTTCTCATACCATTATCCCACTCCAATTCTTCTTCAATCATTTGTATTCTTGTGTTATCCTTCTTGCTAGACTCCAAACTACTTAAAAATAGGAAAAGTGTCTGATGCATTTCTATTTCTTTGTTAGTATACATAACGTAGCATACTCAGTAAATGCAGGATTTAATTTGATTTTTCATTTGGATCCAAAAAAACACAAAAAGCAAGCATTGTGAGAATAGCAATTATTTTTCGAAATCTGTGCTCCATGGTTTCTCCCAATATTCCAGTTTTTTTCATCTATGTATGTGAAAATACTTTATTTCTTCCTATAGAAGAAATCTGAATTTTGTCATTTGTTCTTTTTTTTTT